TGGCTCTTTCTTATTTCGTGAAAGAAAAAGGATTAATTTATTTTGACTGGAGCTTATAGTAAGCATTTAAAACTGTGCAAATATTTTTTTGCCACTCGAAATTTACTCTCTATGTTTACTTTAAACATAGCTTTTGAATTCCGAACATTCATTGCTTCTAAAATATAATACTCAAAGGCCACTTATATAAATATTATTTCTGGAAAATATCTTAATCCTATAAAAATTGGTGTGTGCCAATACTTTTTCGATCCACTGTTTATAAGTATGCTACAATTTGCAATAAAATAGTCTTTTTATATAGTATATTTTACATGACATTACAATTTCAGCTCCAGGGTAAAATAAATTTTTCCAATAACATAAGATACTAAATAAAAACTAATATACTATATATGACTAATTAAAAATGAATAGTTACCAATGTGATATAATCATTTTATAAATTATTCAATGTATAAGTAGTAAGACAAACAAATTAGTTTTGGCCTTTATTATGGCTAAATATCGATTTGAATTGTGATATTTACTTTAGTAATATGTAAGAATTTTTATAACTATAATTGATACATTGTATTTTTATTTAATGATTAACTAAAATAAAGTTTATACTATTTCTTTAAATGTTTTTGGTCTTTTAACTATCCTACTTAATCATATTCTTATTCTTGGGTCTATAGTTTCTGCTTGTCTTTGAACAGTTAATATATTCATAATTTCTATCCTGATCCAATCCACACGTACTTATCTTGCAAATATATTAAAGTTATAGAGCATGAATGAAATCTTACGTCCATACAATTTTTATTTGAGTTCAATTATATATCTTGAATTGGGATTCATTATTTCTTCATTAAATTCAGTATCTTTTGACACATCGTTTCTCAAAATCCATCGCTGCTGAGAGGTGAAAAAGAGGCCTATACTGCATGTAACAGACTCTAAACAAGAATAACTCACTAGAATAGACAACCATACTTTTGATGTATTGAAAATCACACATACCTTAATTACCTATTTCTAACCATCGGGAGATTACCGATTTTGTTTGGAGTAAGTGACCAACATTAAAACTGTTGCTTTTCAGTGGACGAAAATGTCATGCTCTATAACTGTGATTCTATGGGTTTTTATCTCTTAGGGAACTCATTTCTAAGCAATAGGGTTATTTACAGTAATTTGTCTTAGTTTTTGACAAATTTGGTAAAAATCAGCATTGGTTGACCATGATTTTCTACCATACCACTTACTCAAATTATTAGGTTTATGTACTCTTTCAACGCACAATTTAACATTCTTTAATTTCTAAAAGAGTAAATTATTCGCTTTGATGCATCGTTTACAAGTTATAGGGTAAAAATATCAAAAAAATCTGACATTTTTGGCTGTAAAAAGTTTTCCCTTGGTGGCCCACGTTAGAAATTTTGGTTTTTTACAACCAATATATATAAGTCAAAAACATATGAACTTTTCTCACATTTTTCGCAATGAATTTCCCGTTTTGATCCTCATGTTACTGGCCAAATATTCTTTAAATCAGCCGCCATTTTGGCAACTCTGGAATGGCAGATAAACTTTATTTTAGAATAGAATAGAAAAATAATTTTATTCTGGGACGAAGTCCCTTTAGAATAACAAAAAAGTACAAAACTAAAGTATTATATTTGCCCTAAGTAAAAACAAACATAAAAAGTAAAAGTAAAGAAAATATTAGTTAAACATACTATGTACAAAATAAAAAAAATCTATATACAAAACACTTGAAACCATGCCAAGACACTTAAAACTATGTACGGTGGTAAAACATAAGTATACACTTTAAAAGAAAATACATTACTTTCTTCTTAGCAATAAACTCTGTGTTTCTGTAGAAAAAAAAAAAAAAAGAAGAATCTGACAGTAAGTATTTAAGTGATGAATTATATGTGAATATTATTATGTGAATCATTTTGAATAATATGTAAATTTACATAAAAGGTTAGCGGATAGTATATTTTTCTTTCGGTTGGCGCTACAGACCATGAAGATCTTTGACCGCGAGTGTGGTCTCCTAGACCACATCCCGATTCCCGATTTAAAGTACGGGGTACAACCCTACACCCGGTCGGTGTGAGTTGCCTCTAGTATGCAGACGAGACTCACATACCCGGGCGAGAGGAATCTCGGGCAGCATTGCTTTCCTTGGTGGACTGTCACCCATCCAAGTGCCACGTTCGGCATTGCTTAACTTTGATTACCTATTGCAAGCGCTCAATATAGCTCTTACACGAAACTTGATATTGACCTGTAAGGGGGCCTTTATGCTACCTCAGCATTTATTTAATTTTTTTTGTGGCAAAATGCACCGTGGCCATGAAGGCCTATTGTATGTCAGTCAAATCAGCATTACTCAGGTATATTTCAATATAATTCAAATTAAAGTTTTCATTATTTAGGCTGACAGCACTGATTAATAATTGCTTCTTTTGCATGAAAAGATTAGTGTAAGATTCACACACTGAGTATACACTATCAAGTGATCTCTATATAGTGTCTGTATTTGGTCTGATCCTAAACCTTCTAATACAGCCAACAATATCCTCACTGATAATCCAGTAACATTATATGCAATAACCGTTTTTAAAATAAAATATATTTTATTATGAAATCACAGTGAATTCTCTCTAATGTAGACAACTATGGATCAAACGGATTTATCTGTTCTTGGGGGATGTCTGAATATAAAATATATTTATTATAAGATTTTCTCAATGAAACAAATTCTAAATAATACATGATGATGAGTTTAGAATATAAAAAAAGAAGAGTAAATGCACATCATTCATGTCCACATACTGCGTTTTGGAACTTACATGCATTTTTTTTTTTCTATACCTTTTATAACTATTGAAGAAAAATGTCTATAAAATAATAGATTTTCAAGCAGCCCAAAAATGATTATATCAAAGCATTAGCATTATAAATTCATTTAATTATTATAATTTTTAATTTCTTAATATTAATCTTTACATTACTACATGCCAACTTTGTCAATTTCCTACATCTTTAAAACATTGTCTTTTAAAATCAGTCTCTTACTAAAAATTTTACTTGATGATGACACCATGTGTGGTGTTCTTTAAAGAACAACCACACCATGTGTGGTGTTCTTTAAAGAACAACCCGATATATCAGTCCAAAAGCTGTTAAAATTAAACCTGAAATTCTAATCAAATTTATGGCGCTAATTCACTTTGGTCCTGGAAGACAACTGAATATAGTTACCTATTTTATTTTGAAATATCAAGTACCTCAAAATAAAAAGGATAAAAAATAAAAAATTACCTTACAGAGTTAATTTCATTTTGTAGGAGATGGTAAGCATCATAGCGGGAGGTAGGTTAAGAAATACTTACTTTTTAATCAATAAGAAATAAAAATTTTCTTTAGACTCTCACAGTTTGCTAATCCCTTCCGTGGCTTTCTTAGCAAAATTAATACCTAACTTATTTTATCGGATAAATGATAGGAATACTTGCTATAAACCTGAAACCTAAGATGGTTCAAAGGATATCTCTGATGCAGCAATATAAAAAGGTTTAGACATTGTTGCATCTGTTTATCTTGTTAGACAACATTGATTTGCCCAATTGAAAAACATTTTCATACCTATTGCTTCATCAGCTTAAAACAAAAACAGTGCAAGACAGATTTGTGTTGTATGTCGTTATTATAACATAACTCAGATTGAAAGTTTTATGGCATAAAATTAAATAAATTAAGAACATGTAGATTAATTAAAATCATTAATATTAATATCAATTTAAGATAGTTTCAGCTTTTAATAAATACAAAAATAAATTTGTGAAAAGATTTACTTTATTAAATGCTGAAATAAAATGGTAACTCTGGGATTGTACATTATTTTTGTGTACGTCTTTTTGATAACAACACTATTTAAAAATAATTACACCACTGGATTATTTGATAGCCTGTTTTAAGATTCATTACTTCATATTATAAGATTTTGCAGTACATGAAAAACTGATCTCAGATAAAGCCACTATTATAGAAGAACTTTTTTAATATCTTTATTTATTTGTTCCTTTATTATTTGAATTTCACACATTTGAGCTGTGATGATTTAGCCATTATATTTTTGTAAATTTCCAAATATGGTAAGAAATAAATAACCTTTTGTTTACTTTCATCTAATTGTTTAATCATCCATCTGTGTTACCTATAGTTTTTTGACTATCAAATTAATCATATAAATATTGTAAATTTTATTATTCAAAGAGGTTTCCTAACCTACTTTATATTTATGATTTTGTGATTTGATGTAGATAATTTTTGCTTTGAATAGACAAGCTTTCTAGGTTGAATTATATAATTGTAAAAATATTATCTATTTCACTAGAATTTATGCAATGATTATTTAACATTAGTTTAATAATTAAACAGTAACAATATAATGTGCAGTATAAATACATTTTCAGAGAAATTTTATCTTATGGCACAGGAAGTAGAGCAGTAGTTTCTGAAAAATCATTTTTTAAGTCATTAAATATAAAACTAAAATTTAGTATTTGTATGTAAAAAGCAATTTTAAAGGCATTATATACTGTAAATAACTTGATTACTTTTTTTTATGAATAGGTTTATTAATTTAAATTATTTTATAAACCAAAAACAATCAAAGGACTAAACCTTTTACAACATGAATAGGATTCATTTTTTTATTTTATCACATTATTTTTGTTATGAGGTAATAAATAGAGTGTATACATTTATAGATTATAAAATGACACTCCTAATAATAGTTTTACACATTTTCTCATAATGAAATTGGTAACTTTTATTTATTAATGTCCATATTGTTTTAAAATTAACAGTAACAAATTCAAACTAAGCTCATGAAAGACTAATTATTAGTGCAATAATAAATAAATGTTTAATAGTATATATTGCACCACTAAGATAAACTATTATAAACCAAAATTTTAATCATTAGAAAATAAAGGCATTTAAATTAACAATCATATCATTTAATTAGTAGTTAGTAAATAGGTAGTTGGTTATGACCTTATTTAGACAAATGGTTTTTTTTCAGATGAAACCAGAGTGTCAAGAATTATCTTTCCTGAGCATGACTCACTTATGTGATGTAAATCAGTAAACATGTTAGGAAAAAGGGTTTCATGAATTAAAAGTAGATCCTATGAACAAATAACATAGTATTTATTTGTTATTATCAACAGAAAATTGGCATTTTATGCGTAAATAAAAATTATGAAACAATTTTATTATCTAATTGAAATTTAAACAACAAAAACGTTATCAGATTATCATTAAATAAATTTAACATATATAGGCTTTAAATGTCCATTTAACTGGCAGTAGCGATTAAGTGATAAAATAAAATAATATAAATATATAATTAACTACTTTACACCTTCACCAGCGACTCTATTGACTTCTAGACAGATAATAACTTTATATAACATTCATAAATCTATTTAAAAAAAATACATTCTTGAAAATTCATTTCCTAGCTTTGTTACAATTCTTCATTTAATAGTAAGCAATTAATAGCTATGAAGTATAACAATAGGGAAATATTAATAATGTCAATAATAAATTATTTATATATATATATAAGAAAACATTTATTTAAATAATTATAATACAGCATCACTGGGGTTTGAGTTCTTTGGCAATGCTGTAAGACACCATCTTATTCCAATCTATTTTTGACCGAGTAACAGGTAACTGCCTTCTTAAAGCTTTAAAAGTAGTGTCTGACATTGTATGGTAGTTTTCAGATATCGCTTGTTGGTACTCTGTTTCAGAGTCTTCGAATATTTTAATTAAAGCCTTACTTAACTGTTCTTCATCAACAACTGGCAGTGTTTGGTTAATATCTTTTAAACTGACAAGCTGCACATTGCCATCTTCATAATAATGAACTTGAATTTTTAAAACACCTTTCACATCCGCATTATCTGAATCTATTGTCACAAACCACTGAGATCGCCAACAACCATTCCAGCAATTTTTTGGTTGGAATAAATGGGCTTCTATGCACGCAACCAAGTTTACTTTGCCATCCTCTCTTTTAGAAAATACACTACCAGAGCCACTTTCAAAGTGTTTAGCTATATATGCATCTAATTCACTCTCTAAAGCTGATCTCCACTTTTCTGTACCAGGTTCTGCTTCCCATGAGTCATAATTAGATGTCTCTCTCCTTAATGGATCATATTTAAATGACTGTTTCGACCTTGCATCATAAAACCTGTTGGATCCTAGATCATTATGTTCTGTAATTAAAACTGGATACTCACTGTTCTTAATCTTCACAGGCGTAAGCTGGTCTTTACAGTACTGCCCGAAGACTCCAAGAGCTCCTTCTTTCAGAAGAGTATCGTTGTTTAATAATATCCTTGCATCATTAAAAACTTCGTTAAATTCTCCCGGTGGCGAATGTAATATAAAATTAGAAACGATTCGCACCTTTTCTTGATCCGATATAGTTTCTTCACCGTCCAAAGTCATACTTGTAAGAACAGCTAGTAAAGAAGAACAATATTAAGGTTTATTTAACAAAAATAACAAAACATAACCTACTGAGAACAAGGAGACTACGTAGCACACCCACCCCAAATATTTCGGACGTGTATGTACGACAACTAGTGCTCCCTATGCGGCCGCCAGTCGTACTATGAACCAGACCCGACAAAGCCATGTAACCTCTGAATTAGTTTTCCACCGAGTGAGGAGGAGGTACCAGCTGTGACTGTTTCTTTCGAATCTGAATTTTCCTTGTGAAACACATCTAAACTATCTCTCTTCTTACGTGAAAACTGTCGATGAAACCATGTTTCATATACTGTCACTGTAATGTAAGGACTGAACTAAACTCCAAGTGGATTCCTACTTTTTAGAATTTTGTTTCTTTTAATCTTCCGTTTCCTATCGTTATCAGTATGTTTTAGAAGAAAGGTAATCCGTAATTTAAGAATTGTTTCGAGTTCCAGTGACTGAAGCAAATGGAAGAAAGATAGGTCAAATATTGCTGGTTTTCTTTCTTTTTTTTCTTTTATTTATGGGTGATGTGAAATGGTTTCTGTGATGGATAGAGTGAATTCAAGCAGACAGAACTACTCCGTTGAACGTCTTGTTCGAGTTGGATATTATAAACTTGAACAGACAATTGGCAAAGGAAACTATGCTGTAGTCAAACTGGCAACCCATGTTGTGACTAACACTAAGGTAAGATTCTATTATATTGTTTTAACATTCATAAATAATGTAGCAACATTGCATTTTGAATAATATTTTGAGAAGTATCTATTTGAACAATCATAGACAGCCTTGCTTCAAGTTGCCCCAAGGATAAACTCTAATAAGTTGTTTTAAATTTATTCTGAGTTGTTTCCTATTTTTTTTTTTTTTTTTTTTTTTTATTAAATGCATCTTTGGTAATTTTTATTTTCATTTTTAAAATTTCCCTTTTCAATTATATTTTAACAAAATGTTCACAATAATCTGTTTGGAATGCAGTTGAACAATTCAAAATATGCTTCTTTCAGCTTATTATGAATTAGAATTATTATATAAGGTTTATTTTACCAATTTTTTTTTTTTTTTTTTGGATGTCATTTATTCCAGATTTCATTTCTAATTTGTTTTATCTTCAGACAATCTTTAAATACAGTTTCCTATGAGATTACTCTTGTCAGAGATTAATGTAACATATTTGCTTATCAATATTTCAAATTAATTATACTTTTAAAATTTGGGATTCCTAAAACAAGCCAATTACATAAACTTTTTATATCAAATTGTTGGGATCTCTTAAAATTATATGTTTAAAATGTCTTTTAAAAATTACTAGATATTGCATAAGTTACAATTTAAAACTAAATTATTATGAATATGTTATCTTAATTTATGTGGTTTGTTTAATTTAAAGGTGAATTACAAGACACTTAAATGTAGTTAATGTAAAATGTATTCTTTAATTTTATTAATAATTTATAAATCTAAATTTTTAGATTTTTTATTTTATTTAGATTTTAAAGAAGATAATTTACTTTTATAGGATGCTTAACTACCTATGTTCAGGTTGAAACATCTTCAGTTACTTTCATCTTTAAAAAAAAAAAAAATGTATTTTTCTAATTTAATTTATTTAAGCATTCATTTTTAACAAATTAAATCAAAATATTTAAAAATATATGATATTTGATCTAGATCATAATCCTATCAGAGTATGAATTTCAAATTACTCTGTTTACTCAATTTGTTATTTGAATGTAAAATTTAAAACTTAATTTACTATTATCTTATTTTAATTTAACGTCGTTCATATTAGCATTAGCTATATAATTTTCTTTTTACATTATCAAGTTAATTATTAATTAAACCAAGATGAAATCTGTATGACATTGAATAGAAATATATTTATAACTAATAGTTTTTAATAATTTGTTAATGTCAGAGGAATTCATTTGCATTCATCAATTTCAATTTCCTGTGTTTCCTTAAAAGGAAAGAAAAAACAGGTGTGTGAAAGGAATGATTGCCAGGTGGTTGGCCCTTGTGCACGTGTCCCAAGGTCATTTACACGTGGGTTGCGCCACATCCATGGACCAAAAGTCAGTTTTAATAATTTATAACCACATTAAATACCATTGTTCCCTCCAACCTCACCTGGAGGGGAGGAATGCATGAATACTTTCGTGGTTTCTAGATTTTTAGCTTTGGGTTTGTTAATATCTTAATTTCTCAATTTGGTAATTTTTAATATCACCGTTTATTTTTAACGTAAAAAATCCATACTTAGCGAAATTGTTTTATTTGAATATAATAATTTTTTATCCGTAGTTGGTCGGGTAGGTGCGGTCAAATAATTTATTGTATTATTTGGCCGCTTCCTCCTCCCTCCTTTCCCCCCTCCTCCTGACCAACTCTTCATGTTATAATCACGGTCAACCATCTCTACAACATAATAAAATTTTAATTTCATCTTCGGATTTTAAAGGGATAAGAAATCTTAACTTTTTAAAAAGTATGTTTATTTTTGTATTTTATTGAATTGATTGTGTTATCTGATATATTATGTTATTGTAATATAAATGAACTAGTTGGACTGTGCGAATAATTCGCATAATATATTGTTTGGTTTAGTGAAGGAATAGCAAGATAATATGGAAGTTAGTAGATCCTATGTATTATGTGAGAAAGGAATTAATTGTGTTTTCCTCGGTCGATTACATTATTTCATTTAGCATTATAGATCAAAATATTTGTACAAATTATTATTGGATGTTTATTTTCTAAAAATTTTCGGATTTCGTTGATCCATTTTATTTAAATATTTTTTAGATAATACAATGGTAAATTTAATATCTTCTAAGAGGAAAAAATTATTGTGTTTACCAAAACTAAGTATTTTTGTTAATAATGATCTGATTTTGACGAGTTCCTGTTTTATTTGATTTTTTAAATAATGTAGTACCTAACCTTTCTAATTATCTTGCGCAAAATTATAAATTGGATACTTTTTAAGTTATGCGCAAAAAAATATTTCTTTCCTTCATATATATTAAACTTATTACAATCAAAATATTCAATGTTTCTCATCTGAAGTAATTTCCTTATATGCTTTTATTCTTTAATTGTTTTCTTATTCTTTTTAAGTATAATTTCTTACGTAAATTATATAAATGACTCACAGAGGTTATCTGCTTTCTAACGGTCTATTCAAAATACGAATGATGTTAAACTTCATTCATAGATCTAATTTAAAGATAAAATCTAAAGAATCACATACCCTATTTCATTATTTTTTCTTTTGATTTATTCAAATTATTAACAAAAAAGTTCAATTTTGGAATTATCCGCAAATACAGATTCTATTCATCGAAACTTTATTTTAAACTTTTTTAGGAAAGTTTCTAGGTTCTATTTTAAACACTGATTGGAAAGGTAATATTCAAAATAAGGTTTCTAAATTATTAAAAAATATAGTATATACCAACAAAATAATTGTTTTTTAGAAACAATAAAGTATATATCAGCCAGGAAAAAAAGGGTAGAAAAATAGTGAATACAGTATCTCCGCAGAGGAAGAAGATATTACTATGAATTCCAAATCCAATGGACTGTATCTTTGTTAATAATGGTCCGATTTTAAAGATTTTATATATATATATATATACATACATATATATATATATATATATATATATATATATATATATATATATATATATATATATATATATATTGTAGAGAACTTAGTAAATGTTTAAATAATTATGGGTCTAATCCAGACCCACCATTGGCATGTTTAAGTGTTCTGATTACCGAGATATCTTTTTACTTTCTAGTGCATATAGTATTCTTTCATCGACTCCTAATTTCTCACAGGGCATGATGCTTTTCGTGCAAGGCATCGTGGCTTTAGGAAAGAAATCAACCCCCTATGTCCCTGTTGTGGTGTTAAGGAAACTGCTGAACATATCGTCACAACTTGCACTGATTTTAAAGCAATAAGTGCCAAACTACTGAGGAAAACCTGATTCTACATCATCACGGAGGACGTTTTCCCTCAGCTAGTAAGTAAGGATAACTTCCTGTACTACGAAACATTCGTGTACGGGTGGAAGGGATTGGTAGGGGATGATCATTTCAACCTCCACTAACGAAAACCGAAGAACCAGAGGATAAGTGGATGAAGTATCGCGTTACTTCTACGAATAATCTGTATTGCCGCGAGGTAAGAAAAGAAGAAAAATAAAATAAATTACTAAAAAAAGGCCGCCCTTTCAACTACTTGCAACGATCATTTATGGCCTTAGAAGCTACAAGGAAAAAATGATTCGATTATAACCTATACAAAACAAAGTGCATGTTCTCTGAAGAGACACAACACCAAACAGAGGTTTTGATTTCGTTTGGAATTTACATGTTTGAGCTGGTATTAAAATTCACATATGTGGGATCACAGATAACATGTGATGTTAGGGTAGCGGCAGAGATTAATGAGATAAACGAGAAATCTCATTTCCAGTAACTTAATTTTAGGTCGGAATAAAATAACTTTATGTACATCAATTAACCCTTACAGATCGGAAACCTGGAATGCGCCTAAGGCGAAACTTAAGAAATTTTAGGTTTTGAGAGAAAGGATTTTAGACGCATCTTCTGCTCTGCTAACAATGGCGAATAATAATAAAATTTATGGCCTGCTCAGCGATATTGATATCACTACAGTGATAAAATTAAATCGGCTTCAATGGATAGGTCATGTCGTAAGAATGCACATACATGCAATTCCTAGGCTTTTATTGATAATACCGTTGTTCTGACTTCAAGTGGTCGCCAGACCAAGACTTAAACGGGAGTATTGTGACTGAAATGATGTCGGACAGTAGGAGAAAAGCATATAAAAAGAAAAGAAAAGAATATAAAAAAGTAAAATGAGATAAAACGTATCCAGATCTTTTTTATACCAGCATAATATCTCAAATCCATCTGCTTCAAAATTCAAATTCAAAAGCCAATTTTTCATGTAACGATTCATTCACCTGACGATATCATTTGAAGGCATTTACTAAATTGGTGGAAATTATAGATAGATTAATTTTCCATTATTTATAGATATAAATTATTTCATATTTTCGTTATATACTCTCACAACTAAAGGTGAGTAAAAATTGGACATGTTCTCCAACTAGCATTCCCCATATTCGATTCTCATATTCATGTTAAGTGCACATTTTCTCTAAAAAAATTAGATTGCAAGCATCAAAGGAAGGCCAACTGCAGAGAATCAGATAACAAATTTTATAGAATGTCATTCATTTGGTAATGGCTCTTAACGCTACAGAACAACAGTAAATGCATACTTTTTTTCAGTTTTTGTTTAGTTATATTTTTGCTTGAAAGAGATACTTAAACATAAAGTGTCATTCATCTGGATATCCAAAATATTTTTAAACAGGTTAAATGTCTTTTTAAACTAAAATAGTATTGTAGGAGAGTGAATAACGTTTTTTAACCTCTTCATAAAGAATATTTAGTTTTTGATTGGTTATAAAATGTGAAGAAAAAGCGCAATTACTGAGGAAACTAGTTTCTCTAAATGGTAATTCCAGTATTTAGAGTCTAATATATATTTTCATTTGCATTTAGAGAGGTATATCATTTTTCATGAATCTTTGGTTTAAATGTTTTTTAATGTCACTCATCACGATAATTTG